CAGTATTTTAAAAACTGCTTCGATGTCCTGTAGGTGCTGTGCTCTGTCTGGGCTGTAAATCAGTATGTTGTCTAAGTAGACGATGACGCATTTATATAAGAGCGGGCGGAAGGCTTCGTTCATGGTCATTAGAAAAGTGGCGGGGGCGTTGGTCAGTCCGAAAGGCATGACGTTGTATTCGAAGGATCCGTAGCGTCTTCAAAAAGCTGTCTTCGGGCAGTCGGGTGGGTTGACTCGGATCTGGTGGTAGCCTCCCCGAAGGTCGATTTTCAAGAAAACCCGGGCTATGCGCAGTTGGTCGATCATTTCTTCGGCTCGTGGGATGGGGTAACTGTGAGAATCATAAGCATAGTGAGGAGCCATAGCTAGGGTTTAGCTAACTAGGCAAGAGAGAAAAGAACAAAGGAGAGGTTTCACTAGCAGCAGTTGGGATACATATAGCAAACCCTAACAGGGTTGTACTCGCTATAGAGCACCCCACTACAGGCTAGATAATAACATTCTGACACACCCCCATAGCCAAAGTGGGGTGTAATTAGCAGAGCACGCAGTCATAGAGCAGGTTCACAAATGCAAGCAAAGCTAGAGGCTATCACAGAGGGCAAGTGAGGAGGAGGAGGAACTGTGGAAGGAGAGAAGATGGGAGGCAACGACTGAAGCTGCAGAGGCACGGGCACAAGAGCGGCTGACTCAGTGGCTACCGAAGCAAGGGCGACGGACTACTGGAGTGACTGGCTCCGCGGCTAAGACGAGCGGCAGGAGCAACGGACCCACTGGCGACTGGTGCAACAGGCTCACTGGCTACCGAAGCAAGGGCGACGGACTACAGGCGCTGCAGGCGGCACGACAGCTACCTCCACACAACCTCCTCCAACTGACCCACACCCTTGACACACACCCCCTGCTGAACCCCTAACTCCACTCCCACGTCACCCCCCTAGCACCATTCCTTCGGCTCCCACACACCCACCCCCCTGAGCGGCAGCTGCAGCAGCGGGAGACGGAGGAGGAGGAGAAGTAGTGGAACGGCGCACAGAAACTGCACCCCCATACCCCCCACCCCCAAACCCTAATTCAGGAGAACGGGCAGCAGCAGGGGTGGGGCACCGTCAGAAGCACGGGGGACAGCGAGCAGCGCAGGGGCAGAGAGGAACGGGCCGCCCACGGGCCTGGCACAGCCCGACGAACCGCGCGCAGGCGGCCCGAGCCGCGCGCGGGCCTGGCGCAGCCCATACGGGCCGCGCGCGGGCCTGGCGCAGCCCGTACGGGCCGCGCGCGGGCCTGGCGCAGCCCGTACGGGCCGCGCGCGGGCCGGGCGCAGCCCGTACGGGCCGCGCTCGGGGCTAGCGCAGCCCGCGCTGGCCGGGACGGGCGACGGGGGACGACGGGCTGGTCCCCGTCGCCCGTCGAAGCGCCCCCCGGGGGCGACGCGCGGACCGACGAGGTAGAAGGCCGCTGCGCGCCTCGGGGCGCACGGCGGGCAGAGAACCGCCGCACTCCCCGGGGCGCACGGCGGGCAGAAAACCGCCGCGCGCCTCGAGGCGCACGGCGGGCAGAAAACCGCCGCACGCTCCGAGCGCGCGGCAGGAAGAAAAATCCGTCGCATGCCACGGGGCGTGCAACACACAGAGTAGCAGCGGAAGCAGTTAGGTGGGCCCACAGGCCAGGAGCGTAGATGCTCTGATAGCATGTGAGAATCATAAGCATAGTGAGGAGCCATAGCTAGGGTTTAGCTAGCTAGGCAAGAGAGAAAAGAACAAAGGAGAGGTTTCACTAGCAGCAGTTGGGATACATATAGCAAACCCTAACAGGGTTGTACTCGCTATAGAGCACCCCACTACAGGCTAGATAATAACATTCTGACAGTAACGGGATTTGATGGTAACCTTGTTCAGTGCGCGGTAGTCGATGCACATGCGAAAACCCCTGTCTTTTTTTGGTGTGAACAGTATCGGTGCTGCGAAGGGTGACGAACTCGGGCGAATAAACTCTTTCTCGAGCAGGTAATCCAGCTGCTTCCTCAATTTGTCTAGTTCGGGCTGGGTCAGACGGAACTGTCGCTGTACTGTCGGCTGTGCCCCTGGTTCTAACTCTATCATGTGGTCGTGCGGTCGGTGAGGTGGCAGTCCTGTCGGCAGGTCATCCGGAAATATCCCACTGTACTGCTTCAGGAGTGCTGCCAAGTCATCCGGTCCGCTACGGCGCGTTTCATCGTGATCGCGTTGACACGCACCGACGAAGACTCAAGCGAGCCACAGCGAGGTAAGGCGATGTTGTTACCGTTCACTCGCACGGTGCAGTCCCCCGTCGTCCAGTCGATTCGCGGGTTGTGTCGTCGTAGCCAATCACAACCGAGTAAAATGTCGGTTCCGTCGAGGGTTGTCACGAGCATTTCTTCACTCAACGTGAAGTTACCTTCGCATCGAATCCGAACCCGGTCTACGCGTTCCCGTATCGCCAGTGGCGTGCCGTCAACCAGTCTTGCATCGACCTCAGGTAAACATCTGTCCAGTGGCAGTCTCAGTTTTCGTGCTGTGGCGATGTTGATCAGGCTGTGGCTGGCTCCCCTGTCTACAAATATTTTAACTAAGTCCGTCCCAATTTTCCCACTAAGCAGTATGGGGCTGTCTACCGTAGTACCCTCCTTATTCGGCCGGGTGTGGTCGATTGCATGAACCGGCACAATCACTCGGTGAGGGTCGTTGGGTCGGGCGAGCGGCGTGACCTGTCAGTAGAGGGCCCGTCTGCTACTGACTCCCAGCGTTTCCCTGCTGCTTGGTCTGTTTCTGCTGCTCAGCTTCCCCCTTTCCCTTAGCATTTTCCGGGCATTCACTCTTGCGGTGTCCCGGCCGATTGCAAGCGAAGCAGTGCTTTCTGAACAATGCGGCAGCGGCATTCGCGGCGATGGCACGTATCGTAGCGCCCTCGTTTGTCCCACGAGATCGATGTCCCTGGTTACTGCTGCTTCCGTAGGACCTCGGTCTCGGTCGGCGAAAAAAATCAAGCTTCTCCGCCATAGAGAGAATCTCTTGAAAATCGGTGACGTCACGAAGCTGGATCTCCTAAGCGATGTCGTGCTTCAGGCCGCCGATGTAGCGGTTGATGTGTTCGCTCTCGTGCATGTTTCCCACTTGTTCGCATAGCGCTAGAAGCCCGCTGGTGTAATCCTGGACGGAACCGAGTTGGCGCCAAGTGCGGAGCTTCTGTCGCGCCGCGATCGAAGCTGCGATTGGCTCAAATCGTGCGCGCAGACCTGCGCACCACGCGTCCCATGTGTGATATTGGGGCACCTCCACGAAATATGACGGCGCCCAGGGTCCGGTTTGTCCTTCCCGTGTCGGTAGAGTCGCGTAGTCTATCGGCTTCGTGACGATGACGTGCCACCAGTCCATGGCGGGTCCTCGCAGCAGCGACACGGCGCAGCGAATCTTCGCCGTATCCTCCGAGACGTAGTTGGCGTCGAAAAATACATTCAACGTGAACAACCACGCCTGAACGGTAGGACCACCCCGTTGACTCGGTTCAAAGCATGGCGGACGCTGCGGCAGCGGCATCGGCGACGGCAGTGTTGATTCGTCGGTCGGCACAGAAATCATGACGCGAGGTTGACTCCTGGCCGCATTCATCGCTTTGGGGTGTATCGTGCCGTGGTCGTCGTCTCCGTCGTGGCGGACGACGCCATCACTGGCCGCGCTCGCGGGTTGCCCCACACTTCTGTGCTGCGATGCTTGTGGTGCGGGTTGTACCGGAGTGCTAGGTGCTTGTGATTGCGCTTGTTATTCTCGTGCGACGTCATTCTGCAGGGAAGTGCGTTCCGCCGTCAGCGCCGCAATTTCTTTTGAATTTTGGTGCAGCTGGCGCAGCAATTCGTTCAGGCGGTCCTGCCTGAGCGTCGTGACGTCAATGTGTTCAGCCATGTTGAGGGGCGTTGGCTCGGCTTAGTCTAGGCGCAGTCGTGGCTGCACGCGTTTACGAGGGAACGCGAGGACAACGGCTCCTAGGGGCTAAGGTGCGTGAGTCCCTTCGAGTGAAAAATCAAAAGTTGCTTCCCTTGGGTGCGGAGATGCGCGGTCCGAAAGAAAGTAGCTCTGATACCAAGTGTTACGGGTGCAATGAATCGAGGTAGCGAGGATTGCACTAAGTGTCAAACGAGTACAAAATGTGAGCGAAGGCATGAGCGAACATTTATACGTGAAAAAATGCAAACAGTAACGCGGTGCGTGCGAGCTAGCTAGTGCTAGGGTGGCATCGAGGCTCGGGCTAGTCCCGAGCATAGGCCGACACGGCCGGGCCAGCGGTGCATGGTTTGGTGAAACAGTGCGCGCGAAGTCGGCGAAGCCTCGTTAGCAGCAACGGGCGAACAACGGCTGCTGCTGCTCGCGATGTTGCAGGTCGCGCTAAGGAATGTCGAGAAAATTCCTTACGCTTGGGCAAACAACCAGGGTTCAGTTCTGATTGATGACACTTTTTTGGCGCTCCAGTGAGATTTCCGTAAAACTCTCGTGAAACCCCCGCGAAGCCCTCGCGAAGGGCCTGTCAGGCACCAGTGAACGTGAATCCTCGCGAAGGCCCGTTCAAGGGAGTGTCATGGCCTCGTAAAGGGCCTGTGAAGCAGAATCCGCGCGAAAGTCCCGTCAAGGCCCCGCAAAGCGCTAGTGAAGCGTTAGTGAAACGTTGACGAAATTAAAAGCTGTGGATATTGTTGGAATCGTGAGAACGAGGACAATGCGATTGGCATTAACAAGAAGACTTTCCGACATTTACGATCCTAATATTGCGCTGCTGGGCTGGGAAAGCCCGCTCGTGGCAGGGCGTCGGCTCCGCTATAGCGAGCGCGGCTAAACGATTCAGGCCATCAAAGGAATCCTTCGCATCCAGCAAGTCAGAGGCGGCGGAGGGGCAGGAGATTAAGGCCGGGAGCGCGGTTTAATAAATAGTCACGCGAGGACGTGCGGTTGAGAGCAGAGGAGAAGGAGAAGGTGGAATGTGCCCCCCTGGGCATGGGTTCGTATCTGGCGGTGGCAGAGGCTTCTGCGGCAGACAACCCACCCAAGTTCATCCACGTCACCTACACGCCGCCTGCTGCTGGAACTGCTCGTGCTGGGGAAGGGGAGGAGGAGAAGGCGTTGAAGAAGCCGGCGCTGATTGGCAAGGGGCACACCTTCCACCTGCCAGCGCTGATTGGCAAGGGGCACACCTTCCACCTGCCAGCGCTGATTGGCAAGGGGCACACCTTCCACCTGCCAGCGCTGATTGGCAAGGGGCACACCTTCCACCTGCCAGCGCTGATTGGCAAGGGGCACACCTTCCACCTGCCAGCGCTGATTGGCAAGGGGCACACCTTCCACCTGCCAGCGCTGATTGGCAAGGGGCACACCTTCCACCTGCCAGCGCTGATTGGCAAGGGGCACACCTTCCACAGGTATGCATGGGTGTTCGCCTGCCCTCTCATGGCTCCTCGTGGCTCCTCATACCCCCCTCCCCGCTCATTCCAGTCCCTTCGCTCTTCCCCACCCTTCCCCCCTCCCCTTCGTGCCACCTTCCTTCGCTCCTATCAGTGGCGGCTACAACCTCCTGTAGTCACCCATTTCCCGTCTATTCACCCATTTCCCCTCTATTCACCCATTTCCCATCTATTCACCCATCCCATCCCCTTTCCACGTGGTATCTATTCGTCCAGCCGCCTTATCGAGTACCTCTTCTATTCACTCATCCCCATCCCTCCCTTGAGCCAGTGGCGGCTACAGCTTACAACCTCAAGCAGGCCCGGCTCAATGATTCACCCCATGAAGTTTGACCCAGGTGACACGGCGGCGCTGCTGCAGTGCTGGGCGCTGCCAGCCAAGGCAGTCTCCACAAGATCCTAAGGGCTTCCCTCAGCCCAACAGATGCAAACCATACCAATATGGTAGAGTAGGGTGTACTCTTCCAGCGCATACATTCTGTTGTAACACAGTATCTATAATGTACTTGATAATAGCAGTGGCAGTGCGCAACTCTCAACACTAACCCCTACATGCTTAAAAAAACATACACTTGGGAAACAACAGGAAGACAGGGCCTCAATCAGGCCTGACGGTGATGTTTGCATCGTGCACCGTCCTTGAACTGCGTCCGTCCGTTCCCCCGTGTACCGCTAAGCAGAGCACAGAAAACCCTTGCAGAAGTCGTGCCTTTCCAATAACGTCCTCAACTCAACTGTCAGTAACTTTCAGATGCGTGTGACCCTTGAGGTGTGGGGAGCTAGAGTGCATGAATGGGGTGCGCTGTGGCCTCCAGCCAGCAAAGCCAGAGCGGGCGGGCGGGGAGGTGTGACGCTTTGAAGTCTCTTGCAATGCACCACCTCGTTCAAATCGCTCCTTCCCGTGCCATGAAGTTGTGTTAGGATGTAATCTTCGGGCCTTTACACTAGGAGGGGAGGGGGGAGGGGGGGAGAAGGCAAGGAGTCACGGGCAGAGCAGGGTGCATGAGGAGACGGTCCATTCGGGCGAAAAGGGAGGCAGGGGTTGGTGAGATGAGAGAGGAGAGCGTGGAGGATGAGGGGGAAGTGAAGGAGAGGGGAAGGGCGCATACAGAGGAGATTGATGAAGGTGGAAGTGAGGGCAGTGGGAGAGAGGAAGGGAGCGGGTGGCAGAGGCATGGTGAGAGGATTATGAGAGAGGCATGGTGAGAGGATTATGAGAGAGGCATGGTGAGAGGATTATGAGAGAGGCATGGGAATGAACGGGTGGGAGCAAAGCGAGGTCACGCCGATAGGCGGCCACGCCGATAGGGGGCGACGCCGATAGGGGGCGAGGTCGATAGGGGGGGAGGTCGATAGGGGGCTCACCTGCGTTGGACTCACCTGCGTTGGACTCACCTGCGTTGGACTCACCTGCGTTGGACTCACCTGCGTTGGACTCACCTGCGTTGGACTCACCTGCGATGGACTCACCTGCGTTGGACTCACCTGCGTGGGACTCACCTGCGTTGGACTCACCTGCGTTGGACTCACCTGCCTTGGACTCACCTACACAGGACGTGCCATGACGGCACGGAGGGCGCGGGTCACGAGGAGGGGTGCGATCGCTTGTGGTCGCGCGCCAGCTTGGAGAGCAGGCGCAGCTTGCCCGCCGTCTCCGCACTGCCGGGGCTCCTCTCCGCCGCCTCCCTGAACGCCTCCAACGCCTGCCACCGCGCAGCACGGCAGGACAGTGCAGCACAGCACGGCAGCATGCCACCACACACATACTCGTCACCCCGGCAGCACCCAACTTAGAAATTCGAGATTGAACAAGTGAGGGCAGGCGAGGGCAGGCGAGGGCAGGCGAGGGCAGGCGAGGGCAGGCGAGGGCAGGCGAGGGCAGGCGAGGGCAGGTGAGGGCAGGTGAGGGCAGGTGAGGGCAGGTGAGGGCAGGTGAGGGCAGGTGAGGGCAGGTGAGGACAGGTGAGGGCAGGTGAGGGCAGGTGAGGGCAGGTGAGGACAGGTGAGGGCAGGTGAGGGCGGCTGACCTCGTCGTAGCGCTTCATGGCCTCCAACGCACAGCCCTTGCGGTAGTAGCCCTGCGACGATCCAGGCACACGCCACACCACCACATCACACCACACCACCACATCCCACCACACCACCACATCACACCACACCACCACATCCCACCACACCACCACATCCCACCACACCACCACGCCACCACGCCACCACGCACATCGCAACGCACGCGAGAGCGCGCGTGAGTGAGTTTCCAATTGCGGGCGGCAGAAGCGGAAGCGAAACCCCGTGGATCCCCGCGAGTTCCGCGACGGCTCACCTTCTCCCACGCGGGGTTGAGGCGGATGGCGGCCTCCGCGTCCGCCAGCGCCTTGGTGAGCTTCGACAGCTGCAGGAACGCCGCCGACCGATTGCTGCGCGCCGCACGTGCAGTCAGCCACGGCCGCCGCGCCAAATACGGAATAACAAAAAAACGCGGAAATTGAAACGAAATGCGCGCGGCGCGGTTACCTGTAGAGCGCGTGGTTGTCAGGCGCCTCTTTAATGGCCTGCGTGTAGAGCGCCGCCGCCTTGAGGAAGTTCTTCGCCTTAAACTCCGCGTTGCCGCGCTCCTTCAAACCCGCCTCGCCTTGCGCCTCGCTCGAGCCCGGATCCGCCATCGCTGCGATCGGCACGCAGAGGCACCACGACGGATGGATCTGTGGCGATGGGAGCGACGGTGAGTCGTCGCTGCAGTGATCGGGATCTCGCCGTGCTTCGCTCTCCCGCTAACTGGTGCATAAGTGAAGTCGAAGTTGAGTCGCTCGTTCACATGGAGGATCCTGCTGCTGAATCAGTGCTGCTGGGCACATATGGAGGAATGTACGCGCTAGAGATGTACCTTCCAAACGAACAGTAGATATTCAGGTTCCAAGTTTGTATTGATGGTGATAATGTTGGTCATTCAAACATGATGGAATGTTCTCGAGTGTGAAGTCTCATCATGTTTGTGGCTGTACGGGAAATGGTCTCCGAGCGCTAACGGGGACCTCTTTGGGCGAGGGGAATGGTGGTATTGACGGCCAGATGTTCACCCGATTGACTCGTGTAGATGAAACGACTGGGAGATCCCATGCCAGGTGGCGCCCTATTAGCAGCTTCAGATGAGATGCAGAAGGCGATGCCACGTCACATGCATTCACCTCGATCTGATCTGAAACTGGCCGAATGATCGCACTTCTTCATCACCTAACTCGCTCGCGAACGATTCTCGAGTTTCCTCCAGCGCGCGCTTCGGGATCAGATTCCACGGCGATAGCCAGCAGCCAGTCGTGCGTGCGGTAGCGACGGGAGTAGTCGCAGAGGCGGATTAGTTTCGTCTGCACAAGCCACACCTATACGCCCGACATTTCTGACGCGGATTAGTTTCTTGGCGCGGCCCTCCTCGTCCCTCGTCCTCCCCCGCTGAGCTTCGCCCGTCCTCGGGGTTGTCGCGGGCGCCGATCGCGAGTCTGAGCACGCTGCGCCGCGCAGAGCTCGCGAGGCATGGAGGCCCTCGCCTCGTCGCACGCTGTGTCGCACACAGCGTCGCCACGCTCTTTGCCGACGACCGTCGCAAGATGTCTGTCGCCAAGCCACGTGGCGAGCTTCAACGGTTCCGTCTCGCGTTCACTCGCGGTACGTGTTGCGCACACGACGCGTGGCGCCGCGGCCATCGGTCCGGCCATGGCATTTTGGAGGGCCGGAAAGAACACTGCAGACGCGTATGGAGGGTGGGAGTGGGCGCAGAGGAAACGCGCAAGTAGAATGCGTGTGATGCTGGTAATGCACTCGAGACTATCACCGGGCGACGCTTCAATTCGCGCTAAGGAAAAAGAGACTGGCGATGTTTTGTCCTCGAGTTACACCATTTCGCGTACTAATTCGCCCAGTTGCGCACGAACGCCGCCAGCTCGCCACCCGTCAACGTCGCCGCCACGCCGCGCCAAGCCGCGATTTCGCGCTGCGAGCGTGAGTCGTGAGTCGCGTGCGTGATCTAAATGTGGCAGGACTCGAATCCCCCGTCTGTTCTCCCGTGTGCCCTCCATGTGCACTCCCTTCTCCCCTCACCAGAATCAATCCCATAATCGCCCACGCGCCGCCCCACCCCAACGCGTCTCCCTCTCCTCCTTCCCTCGCTGCCCCCGCCGCCCCTCCGCCTTCCCCCGCCGCCACGCCGTCCGCAGCCTCAAAGACGCCGCCGCCTCCTCCCCCTCCGCCATCCCCGCCCCTTCCCTGCCCTCGCTGCCGTCGCTCCCGTCCACCCACCCCGCGCCTCCACAAGTCATTCCCCTGAAGGACATCCCCGCGTTCGTGGCGCGCAGCCCGCTGCTGCAGCGCGCGGGGCTGGCGCAGGCGGACGTGCAGCGCGACGCCGCGGCGTGGGGCGCGCTGGGGGGCGAGCTGGCGCTGCAGCTGGGGTTCGTGGGGGGGCAGGGGGAGGGGAAGGCGCAGCTGGAGGAGGCGCAGCTGCGGCGCATCTTCCAGTACTACCTGCCGGTGTTCTCGTGGTGCTGGCGCCAGCTGCTGCACCATCGACGCCACGCGCAGGGCGGCAAGGCGGCACCCACTCAGGCGCCGCCCCTCGTGGTGGGTGGGTGTGAGGTCGAATGCGGCAGGGGGTAGGGCGAATGTGGCATGCGTGGGTGTAATGATTGGTGTGAGGATGACGGAGAGAAGGCGAGAGGACGAAGGGGGGAAGAGATAAAGAGAGCAAAGGAAGGGGGAGGGAGGGAAAGCAGATGTTTGGGAGTCACTCCTTTGCATGCTGTTGTGAGTTAAGGGAAACGTAAGGAGGGGCTGAAAGGATGCGAGAGTATTTCTGCAAGCCGGTGCGGTACTAACGACTAGTGGATTTGGTGATGTTAAGTCTGGTATGAAATGGTTGGTGTGTTACATAGTCTTATGTTTGGTACTAAGCATAAACGTGTTATTCAACCTTATGCCTGGTGCTATTCCAAAACGTGTTTCTTAGCCATGTCTGTTTATAACCATAAATGTGCTACTATATATTGGTACAAACTCTTGTGCACTACTTCACCTTATGTCTTTATCTGCCATGTCCCCAACCTCTCGAACCTCCCCATCCTTCCCATGCTCCCCATGCTACCATGCCCCCATGCCCCATGCCCCCATGCCCCCATGCCCCCATGCCCCATGCCCCATGCCCCATGCATGGCATCAGATCGGAATCAGCGCCCCCCAGGGGTGTGGCAAGACAACGGTGGTGGAGTCCCTCGAGCACCTCTTTGCCGTCACTCACTGGTGCGTGCCGCCCTGCTTGCTGCACTGCTTGCTGCACTGCTTGCTGCACTGCTTGCTGCACTGCTTGCCGTCGTGCTTGCCGCCTAGGTGGGAGAGTTAGTGAAACCTAATCGTCGACTAACTCTGGCAGGGAAATGTGCGTGCCAGGGTTAGTCGATCGATCCACTTACTTTGGGTTGGGTTTGCTAGATTAAGAGGGGTGAAGTGCGGTAGAAAGAAAATTTGCATGGACAATTTGTGGATCTGGTTCTGTTTTGGCGAGATTGAACCAGATTCATTCCGAAATAAAATTTACGCTAACATCGCAAATGTCAATTTCATCGTGAGCATTTTTTTTTTCATTGGGCTGCTCGAAAAATTCCCAGGCGAGGGTATAGCGTCCAGCGTACGGACGCTAGCGTATACACGCTGGGCGCTCGCCATCCAGAACGTATATGCCCACTTAGGCGGCAAGTAGTGCAGCAAGCAGGGCAGCAAGCAGTGCAGCAAGCAGGGCAGCAAGCAGTGCAGCAAGCAGTGCAGCAAGCAGTGCAGCAAGCAGGGCAGCAAGCAGTGCAGCAAGCAGGGCAGCAAGCAGTGCAGCAAGCAGGGCAGCAAGCAGTGCAGCAAGCAGGGCAGCAAGCAGGGCAGCAAGCAGGGCAGCAAGCAGTGCAGCAAGCAGTGGGCACAATGCAGTCAGCTCAGGTCTTGGTTGCACGTCTGGCTCTCTCCATCATGCTCACTATGTGCCCCACTGCATCTGTGCTCTCTATGGATAACCTCTCATTCTGTGCCTCACATGATCTCTCACATCCTCCTCTCTGCCCTTTCGACCCCCTTTGCCCTTACGCCCGGGGGGGCAGCACGGCAGCAACGGTGTCAATCGATGATTTCTACCTCACCGCACAGCAGCAGGTGCACCCCACGCCCTCCCTCCTTGCCTTGTCATTTTTGAAGCGACAGCTCTGCCGTGCACCCGTTGCAACTGTCACATCACTCCGCCCACTTCTTGGCAGATGCATGCTTCTCATGCCGCTCATGCCCCTCATGCCCCTCATGCCCCTCATGCCCCTCATGCCGCTCATGCCCCTCATGCCCCTCATGCCCCTCATGCCCCTCATGCCCCTCATGCCCCTCATGCCCCTCATGCCGCTCATGCCCCTCATGCCGCTCACGCCCCTCATGCCCCTCATGCCCCTCATGCCCCTCATGCCCCTCATGCCCCTCATGCCTTTCATGCCGCTCATGCCGCTCATGCCCCTCATGCCCCTCACGCCCCTCATGCCCCTCATGCCGCTCATGCCCCTCATGCCCCTCATGCCGCTCATGCCGCTCATGCCCCTCATGCCGCTCATGCCCCTCATGCCGCTCATGCCCCTCATGCCCCTCATGCCGCTCATGCCTCTCATGCCCCGCGTGTTCACATGTTCCTCACGAGGCATGGCCCTCATGCATACAGCATGCATGCAGCATGCCTCTCATTGTCCACAAAGAATTCCCAGCTACCTCTTCCATGCTCGCACACCCATCCGCACTGTCTTCTCACTCGTTTTCTGCCCCCCAGGCTGCACTGCGCGAGGCTCATCCCGCCAACCGCCTGCTTGAGGTGCCTCTCCCACCCGCTCCACCACTCAACCCCTCCGCACCGCTTGCCTTCCCTGGCTCCCCTCCCGCCCTTAAACCCTCTCGCCATCTCTCTTTTTCTGTCCCTGCGCTGCGCCCCACCACTGCGCTGCGCCCCACCACTGCGCTGCGCCCCACCACTGCGCTGCGCCCCACCACTGCGCGTTGCCCCACCACTGCGCGTTGCCCCACCACTGCGCGTTGCCCCACCACTGCTTCCACTCCTCCTCCCCTGCCTCCTGCTGCTCTAATCCACCCCTGCCTACTGCTGCTCTAATCCACCCCTGCCTCCTGCTGCTCTAATCCACCCCTGCCTCCTGCTGCTCTAATCCACCCCTGCCTCCTGCTGCTCTAATCCACCCCTGCCTCCTGCTGCTCTAATCCACCCCTGCCTCCTGCTGCTCTAATCCACCCCTGCCTCCTGCTGCTCTAATCCACCCCTGCCTCCTGCTGCTCTAATCCCCGCACCTCACTTTGCTGTTCTCGCTTGCACTGTACTCCTCGTTCTCCTGATCCTTCAACCAGTTTGCCTCTACCCCCGGTCCGCATCCGTCACCTGCCCTTGCGCCCCCACATGCACCCCACATGCACCCCACATGCACCCCGCTGGCACCACCACCACCACCACCACCGCCGCCGCCGCCGCCGCCGCCGCCACCGGCGCCGTCGTGGTCGCCGTCGTCGTCATCATGCCCTCCTGCCCGTGTCACCTCTCCCTTCAGCTGAGGGGCAACGCCGGCTCACACGACCTCGCTCTCGGCGTCTCCACACTCTC